TATATAAATATATGAATGAGTGATACACACGATACTGCCCTCCCCCCCCGATGACCAAGGCTCAGCCTGTTCCTGGCTAATGATCCTGGAGCAGGGAGAGTCCCGAAACCACACTCACGGAACAGACATAACAGACCGAGAGCTGACTGAGGGTGGGGAAGAAGGCCCTGGGAGAAGGACCACCTGGAGTGAGATGATCTGAAGCAAAAGGGAACCCAGAACAAAATATATATATACTGCGCATGACGTGCATGTTACGGAATAGATTATTGGCCATTTTGGGTCTCAGTCCTGAACCTAAGATCAAATCCTGGGCTAGTAACTGGGGCTGTGCTCCCTCCCAGCTTCCCCTGTTTGCAGACAGCCAGAGAAGCTGAAAGACCTTGGCAGCGGCGTAATCATCACTTTTTATCAGCTTTCTTCTGAGCACAAATCCAAAAGACAGCCTCTTGCTAGCTGTTATGAAGAAAGTTAACTCTGTCTCAGCTTAACCCAGGACACATAGTCCTGAATGACTTGTGCAAATTCTGGACAGGGAGTAGTTCAGTGTTGCCACATCTGGGTATGATTGTCCACCTAGTAATGCATTAAACTTTCCCTTGCTACATCTGTTGTCCCAATGGGAAAGGGTGGGAGGTCTGTGAAACTGATCTTGGGATGATCAGTTTGGGATTATTTGCTCTAAAGCAAAAGTAAATGTAGGAAGGAGGCAAAATATGATATTCTAATCCAGACTATAGCCAGATTTTGCTGCTAGAAGCAAAATGAACTACTTCTAGTGTCTTCTAGCTTTTGCCAGTCTGTAGGTTACAAGAGATGCTGGTAAAAAATTATACCTGTCCATGGTAATTATTGTAGCTCTTACTCTATTGTTACTTAACTTGCTGTAAGAAGTAGTGGCTATGATCCTTATAATTTATCTTTTTTTTTTTTTCTTCCCTCCTTTCTCCTCCACCTTCGGTCAGTATGACTTCTCACTGGAAAAGAAAACAATTGAGTGGGCTGATTATATCAAGAAAATTCAAACTGCCCAGACAGAAGCTGAACGCAAGGCAGAAGAAGCCTTAGCAAACTCAAAAGCAGCTCCAGAGGACAGCAACAAAATGTGGTTCTCTGAGGGACCTTGCCCTGAGGCCAGGCCTCCTCCTATTAACCCCATCTTTGCCAGTCTGCAGCACAATAATATTCTTACTCCCATGCCAGCCAACAGCAGTGCTGTGAAGCAAAAGGTTCTCAGTCCACCTTGTCCAAAAGCAGACTTCAACCCAGCTGATTTTGAATGTGAAGACGACCCATTTGACAAACTGGAATTGAAAACTATCGATGATAAGGAGGAATTAAAAAATATTCTTGAAGTTCATGTTGGTACTCCTGGGCCAGTTGTTGCCCAGCTGTTAGATAATACTTTGCCCAAAGGAGGGTCTGAGTCTATGTTGCAAGATGAGGAAGTTCTGGCATCCATACAAAGGGCCACGCTGGACTTCAAGCCCCTTCACAAACCCAATGGCTTTATCACTTTACCGCAGTTGGGAAACTGTGAAAAGATGTCCTTGTCTTCCAGAGTGTCCCTGTCCCCTATCACTTCAGTGAGCAATATCAAATCCCTGTCCTTTCCTAAACTTGACACCGATGACAGTGATCAAAAACCATCAAAGCTCACAAGCACTTTCCACAGCACTACCTGTCTCCGCAATGGCACTTTGCTCAGCTCTTTGCAGACCTGTGCTCAGAGTGAACTGAATGGACACCATATGGTTGGTCTTTCTGCTCAAAGTGGCATGGAGACATCATTATCCTCTTCATCCAGGCTGCCTTCCCTGGCTGTGTCAACAGTTTGTACAGAAGAAGAATCATCTGAAAGCACAGCGACTACGGTAAACATGTAGTGGATTCAAATTGGGGTTGCTGGGGAGATGCGGAGGTGCAGAGGCAAATGTTGCTTCTAAAATGTCTTGTGGCTTTGGTTTTAGTTTCCTTTAATGGGAGTGATGTGATCCTTTTCATTTATGTGGCAAATTGATCAGTCCAACTGGTCTTCATGCTGGCAGTTCTGAACCTCAGATTATGGCTCTCCAAGTTTCCCCAAAATCTGATATTTTTAGACCACTTCTGGTGATTTTTCTTTCAGCTTTTCAGCTCTTGTTCTTCATAGTTGCACACCTCTGAGCTAAGTTTACAGGATGTCTTCTTTGTACAGTCCTGCATTCCTCTCTACCCAACTGAGATGTATCAAATTCTGAAGTGCTATTAGGTCTTTGGGTAACTCTCTTTCAGATTTGTTCCTCAGTTTATTTATTTGCTGGAAATAATGGGAAATGCAGGCTTTTCGAACAATAGAAGCTATAATAGATTTAAAAATGCAGATGTGCTGTGTTATTTAGGAAAGAAAAAAGTGTTTGCAATCGACCTGCAGTAAAATAAGTGGGATTTTTGTTTATTTTTTTAAAATTAACTAACTTCCTGAAATACAGAACAGCAGAATACCTGTTTATTGATCACTAGGACAAATTTAATACGGTAAACTTCGGCAGAAGCAGGAGCATGCTGAGCAACTGCTTACTGCTACAAATCACAGGTTTGAGAGGTGCTTTGTATGATCATATGCAGCTCAGAGATGAAACCTTGAAGTACAACATGTGACACATCTCTAGGGATTAATGTGAAAGATCACTTACAACTAGGTAGATGGGCATTCAGATGGCCAGATTTTCACTCTTAACTATTCAAATCTCAGTGATGGATTATTAAAGAACAAGGTGGATTTCTCAAGGTGCTGTAAGGGAAGATACAAACTGACAAACAAAAATATTTACTAGGGGAATTAATAAAGTTTTAAATTTGAAATTATTTCTGCTTTGGAAGTAGCAAACCAAGAAATAGGTCTGCCAACAGAACTAGTTCTTTCTGTTTAAATTCCAAGACTTCAGACTATACTTGCTTCATGTTTCCACAATATGGTCCCAGGGGCTGGAAAACGACAGCTGAGCTGCAAGAAATTGAAGTAAATGTAACAAGTCCTCAGAGTATGAAAATTATAGAAGGAAGTCACACTCATCCCTGTGGCTGGGAGCAGAAGGGTCATTTGTCCCTTTTCTGCACAGTTACACAAGAATAAGCCTGTCTTTTTTAGAAAGCCTCAGGACAATTGTATGTCCCAGTGTATTCCACAGTATTTTTTGGGGTTTTTTTTCTTTCCCCTCACAAGACTAGAAATTGTAACTTTGGATATGGAGTTACCACGGGAGTTTATGCTTTACCAGTGAATTGGATATAGGGTTTTTAGATGGAAATAAACTCATGATTTCTCCAAGGCTGCACTGATTTTGTGCTGGGTGGTCCCCTCTCCTCTGAGTACTTTTTGAAGCTCACTGGTTTGCTTTTTGTAGCATTAGCAGAGGGTGAAATGACTAGTGAAGACAAGAGGTTGGAATTAAACAAAGAGACCTGACTAGTGGTTACAGGAGGATCGGGCACACCACTTGGAATATACTGCTGCAGCAGTGTGATGTGCCCGGGCAGGGCAGGCCTCCCAGCCTCTGTATGAAGTCTCTAAAAGTAGGCACAGTATGCAAGCACGTACTGAAGGCACTGCACATCTGCTTCTTGAAGGGCACTAAAAGGCACATTTGAGACATAAGGGAGTGTGGCTACTGAGTGACCAGTCCTGGCTTTGTCCCCTGCAATTCCTTTTAGTGTTTCCCTCCTCCACTGCAAGTCACTGACCACAAGCATGGGCTGTCAAGCTCAAGTAGATTGAGGAGGAGGAGTTGGTTTTCCCAGACTCTTGAATCTCTTCTGTCTTCAGAAGCAGTTTTGGTTTTCCTGGCTACAGCATCAATAACAATTTGATAACCAGCTGATTTCAGGGCTACTCCAGACACCCATGTCAGTGTATCCCATATTCTAGTGCCTTTTGCTCTGGCAAAAGTACCTGGAGGGGGTGTATGCAAAGAGTTCTGAATCCCACTACCACCATGAGGACATGTTTTTGGGTAAATCAGTCATATCAGACTGAATATGGTTTCTGGAGCTTTGTCTCCTATAAGAGAAATTCTTAACCTGGAGATGAAAATGGTCAGAAACGCAGAACAAAACCTCCTTGGTGGTGGTTTGGGTTTTTTTGGCAAATAAATGGAATTTGTCAAAATCCTAATAGATTTTCTCAGAATCTTTTTCTATGAACAGCTTTTTATTGTTTAGTTTGGGCCCAAAGAAGGCCCTTCTGAAAGAAATGGACAAGCTTTCAAGCAATCCATGTTATCATAGTGAGTATTAAGAAGCGCAAAAAACTGGAGATCTTGGTCCACAGAGATTTCTTTCAGTCTTTTCTAATTCTATTTAAAATGCAGGAAGACTTTTAAATGGATGAACTGAAATGTGCAGATTTAGTGGGGCAAAGTTCCAACTTTGCACTGCTTTTATCTTGGGCAAAGTAGTATAAAGTGGTGGGTTGGTCCTGCCCTCTGGCAGCCTGGTTCTGCAGAAACGGGGCAGGTGTACAGCAGGGAGTGTTACCTGGCCTTGTTGGCATACTGGGAATGGGACCAACTGTTGGATGTTGGTAGAAAAATCACTTGCTGTTTTTAGCCAGTGTGCCACATTGCTCATATGTGGCATATAAAATTCAGTGCTTTGAGAGTAGAAAAGGGGTGTATGTTTCTCTTAATCGTTCTTATGGTCAAAAACTCAAAAGAAGTCTCTAGGCAATGACTTCAAAATGATCACTGTCATTCAGGCTGCATAGCACTGGGTCAGGAGCTGAACAGGAGCCAGCATGTAACAGTGAGCTATATGGACACGTGGCTGTTAGTGACAGAATAAACAAGCTTACAATAATTATGAGGGAGGACACATCCTTCTTGGAGTATAAACAGTTTGTAGAGTGCTGAGAGAATACATTATCCTTGTGATAGCTATTCTGTAACTACATACAACTGTGTAATGTCTGCATCTCACATGTGGAAGCCTGATCAGACCACAGGTCTCCCTTGTATGGTAGACTTATTCCCAGATCTGTCCCATAACAGCCTTCTCACTGAGCTGCAGCAAAATCTGCTCACTAGTGCATAATGCTTACAGTCATCTTATTCGTGTGTTGTCCAACAGGTACACACAGTCTACAAGGAAAGAGAAATCCCTGAGGTAAGTTCCCAAATACCTGTGTACTTGCACTGGATCATGTTTCTGAAAATCTACAGAAGCAGGGTTCCTTTGAGTACGAAAAGGTCATAGGTGACAAGTAAACTTGGGATGAAGGAAACAATCTCCATGCTTCCTCTGAGGTACAGGGTTTGGCTATATCGTAAGGACCTTGACTGTTGCAGAGGTTGGGTATTGAAAGGTTTTGATCCCACCAGTAGGAGAGGGTGTATTGTGAAGAATCTGGGTTGTTATAGAATCATAGAATGGTTAGAGTTGGAAAGGCCCTTAAAGATCATCGAGTTCCAACCCCCCTGCCATGGGCAGGGATACCTTCCTCTAGACCAGGTTGCTCAAAGCCTCATCCAGCCTGGCCTTGAACACCTCCAGTGATGGGGCATCCACAGCTTCTCTGGGCAACCTCTTCCAGTGCCTCACCACCCTCCCAGTGAAAAATTTCTTCCTAATGTCTAGGCTAAATCTCCCCTCTTTCAGCTTTAAACTGTTACCCCTTGTCCTGTCACTACACTCCCTGATAAAGAGTTCCTCCCCATCTCTCCTGTAGGCCGCCTCTACGTGGCAGAAGGCTGCTATTAGGTCTCCTTGGAGCCTTCTGCTCTCCAGACTGAACAACCCCAGTTCTCTTAGCCTGTCCTCATAGGGGAGGTGCTCCAGCCCTCTGACCATCTTTGTGGCCCTGCTGAGGACTCTCTCCAACAGGTCCATGTCTTTTTTATGTTGGGGGCTGCAGAGCTGGATACAGTACTCCAGGTGGGGTCTCATGAGAGCAGAGTAGAGAGAATCACCTCCTTCAACCTGCTGCAAATACTTCTTTTGGTGTTCATTGGTATTTTGAGGGTAAAAAGAGTATGGTGGGAGTCAGACTATGTGCACTACTTGGTTTCATCCTAACAGTGAGTAACTTCCCAAGGGCAGTGTAGAAATCCTCTCAGATGAATTACATGGGGTATCCTGGTTCTGCACTAGCCAGGAACAGGATGTGGGGGTGCAGAAGATGACTGTTACCTCAGCCTCTGGGTTTTCCCCTTTAGGTAGCGCACCAAAATTTTCCAGTGTCTAAAGTGCCCAAAAACACCAGCTGCACAAAGCGGTCGGGTGGCCCAGCTCCTGAACTACAGCAGGCTCTCTCTGCTAGTGAGAGGCAGTGCATAGAGACAGTTGTCAACATGGGGTACTCGCCTGAGAATGTCCTGAAAGCCATGAAGAAGAAGGGACAGAACATAGACCAGGTAAGAGCTTGTGCAACAGGAAAGAAACCCTTGATTGGATGCTGATTCTGCTGAGAAACAGTCTTGGGTTTGCAAAATGGATAGGGGGGAATACTTTTATTCTAACGGGGTTGCAGCCTGTAGCTGCTGTGATATTAACTTCTAGAGAGGTGGTCATCTGGCACTAAGTGCTCCAGAAACTGAAGAGTGTCTCTGCCTGTTTCTGTAAGAGACTGCCTGACTCAGCCACACCTGTGGGTGCTGGCTCGGAGCTGCAGTGAGCTTGCGATGGGCCCTTAGCACCACATGAAGCTGGGAGAGGTACTGGGTCTTCCCAGGAGCCACAAAACCATCTGAAGGAAGCTTAGTGTGGCTCTATGCCATGCTTAGTGCCGTGTGACAAAAAAACAGCACCTTCCCTTGTTCTGAGTGCAAGGGGTTACATTTCTCCTTGTAGAGAGAAATTGGCCTATGCAGGTTATGACCACTTTCTTCTGTGTGCTTTGGTTGTGGTGCTTCCTGCCTCCTGTGTTGCATCCGACGCTTGCTGAAACCAGGTCACAGAGCATAAAGCACTGCAGGGTGAAGCTTGGGTCTTGGATCTGCTTCAAACAAACATTTTGAAGCAGGGAGGCTGTTGCCAAAGTTGCCATGCTGTGTGCTGCACAGAGCATCGCCTGGCAGGACTGTGCCCAAGGAAGAGGAATGTCCCAGTGACTTCTGCTTGTGGAGCTGATCTGCTTGCCCACTACGTACGCATTGAGAGCGGTTTAAGCTTTGTGCTGGAGTGAACTGTATTATCAAATGGAAAAAAAGTCCCTTAGGAGGGTGGTTTAAAATCCTTTTGTATTTGCAGGCTGCATTCTTTTGCCTTTCTAGCATTACCTGTCTGACTTTTCCCCATACCTCTCAAAGCTGAGGATGGATAAGAAATTTGGCAGTGGTTTCTGGGCGAGTGAGCTGGGATTTCTAGCTCATTCACCAGTATGCTGAGTTGATCTTAAAAGGCTTTCAGATTGCATCAGCTCTTGCAGCTCTCTGAGAGGAAGCTAAAAGCTGACACCGCTTGACTGCTGGACCTACAGTTTCATTTTAAAAACTTGTAGTATAAAAAGTACAGTTAATCTTCTTCTGCTCAGTGATCAGGCACTGAAGGCTAAAGATAGGCTTCTGAGACTGTTTTGACTGGAGTGGAAGATGACATTCAGAGCTGCTGGGACAGCACAGGAGGACAGAAGGGCTCATTTGTTTCTCTGAGCAAGCTCTTGCATAAAGAGTTCCTTCTAGGAAGGACTCTGTCTCAGTTAAAAAGTAGAGTTGTGCTCAGCCCCTCTGCATGTACAGGGGTGGTATTCAACCGCGTGCTACGAATGCCACTCTGCAAACTTCATTTCTTTTCTTCGTTCCCCACAGGTTTTGGATTACCTGTTTGCACATGGACAGCTTTGTGAGAAGGGCTTTGATCCACTTCTTGTTGAAGCAGCTTTGGAAATGCACCAGTGTTCAGAGGAGAAGGTGAGGATGCAATGCACTAAGGAATAGAGAGAATGTGCCATGATGGGGAAGTCCAGCAGCAGTTCCTGTAATTTTCTTTCACGGTAATACTGCTTTGTTTCCAAAACTGACTGCAAAAGGACATCCTTGCGGTGATAAAGTGAATGTGCTAAAGCGTTAGAATTCTTCTGCCGAGTTTTATTACCCTCACTTGCGTACATTTTTATGGGGACAGCATTTTTTTAAAGACCCTGTTTATTCTGGTTGTAATGTTTTGAACTTGGAGTTCTCTTGTGGGTGAGGTGCTTGGTACAGAGACAGTTAATTTCAGAAGCACCAAATTACCTTTCAAACCCTGTCAGCCTGCCCTGATTGTGAGTTTTCTCCCTTGGACAAACACATCTGCCTGGCTGCTCAGGAAATTGGGTTAGGGTTTGTTCTGGAAGAAGCTGGAAAATATGTTTTTTGGGGTCTGGTTCATTGTCTGGCTGCTTTACCAGCACGAAAAGTACAGAGGCAGGAGCAGTTAGCCAGGCCAGAGGACAGCAGGATCTTTTAAAGTCTGCCAGCCTGTTGTGTCCCAAGTTATTACATGAAATTTTTAGAGATTCCCAGACATATACGTGTGTTCCTGCCTTTCTTGGACTTAGTAGTGGGCTTGCAAACAGAGGAACAACAGTATGAAGATGAGACAAGTGACTGAGTTGAGGAAACACATTTGCTACTGGCTAAACCCCAAAATTGGAAACAGCTAATCTTCTGATTGCCCATTTCAACCTGCTTGTTTGTTTTTGGGTTTTTCTTTCTCCTGGAGTGGAGCAGAGGCACTGTAAATGGCAGAGGGTTCAATCAGTCTGATCAGCTGATTTCACTTCTTGTCACTTAATTTTTTCAAAGCTCAGGTAAGATTCATGGTTGGTGTTGCTAGTACTGTACACAGTGTGTCCAGTAGGGTTTGTGCTAATCCCCTAAGGTTGCTTTAGATCTGAAGAGCAAATTGATATCAAGGGCTGCTGTACTGTTCCCAAAGTCAAAGGAAAAAAATCCAGATGCAGCAGGCGCTGCTGGATGGGGGAGAAGAGTGCCATTAATCAGCATTTTCGGGAGCCCAGATCAGGCCAGGCTGATAAATTTCCTGCTGGGAGAGAGACCACAGGCTGAGCTTTGGTGCCTGTGCTGAAGGGGATTTTGGAAATGTAGAACTGCAAACACAGTGGACTGAAGGTGAGGCCCCGTGGGCTACTACACCCAGAGCTCTGCCTGCTCTGGTGTGAGTGGACTTTCTCCAAACAGAGCTGGAACAGGCTGTACTTGGGGAGGAGGAATCCACCTTGTGGGATGCCTAGTTGCTGAAGACAGGCTCTGTGCTAAACTTCCACCAAGCACTGATTGTCTTTTGTTTTGCAAATAATGGACTGTCTGTGTCTTTCAGATCACAGAACTTCTCCAACTAATGAGTCAATTTAAAGAAATGGGCTTTGAACTAAAAGACATTAAGGAGGTCTTATTATTACATAACAACGACCAACACAATGCTTTGGAAGATCTAATGGCCCGTGCGGGAGCCAGCTGAAAACACATTCCTGGATTCTCGGAGTGCAAGGGAACAGGACCAGCCCCGCCACCTTCACATCCAGTGTGACTTGCTCTCGGCAGGAAGGAGTCCAGCTTTTTGCATACATGGGAGAGTGCCTGCGTGCATCACTCCAGCATTTGTCTTTTCACCGAGAGCCAACATTTGTTCTTAAATTAAATTATTAAAGTGTCCTTTCCTAGGTTTCCTTTTTCCAGCTTAGCCACGGAGAGTTTAGACTGCCCAACCTCTACTGGAATTGTACATAGGTAGAGACGGGAGTGGTTCCCCCCTCACTGTTGCACTGGAGTTGGACAGAAGAATATTAAGTTGGTTCTGAAACTAGGATGCTTTGGTTCTTTGAAGCTGCTTTCATGGTGTCTGCTTGTACTGAATTACTGTCACAGTCCAGATTAACTGGTTAAATTTGACCTTTAGTGCAATGGATTTTTATTTTTGGTTGAAGGTCAGTCTGTAACTTAGTAGAACACTGGTTCAGAAACTGTCACTATGCATAAAGAGAGAAGCTGTTCCTCTTGTGGTTTTTTTTTTTCACCCACGCATCCAACACTTCTGCCAGACATGAGTGTCCAATGCTGAGTGGTGCGTAAGTTCTCTTGAAACAGGTAAGCTGTGAACTCTGCCTGGACCTGTAGGTTGTGTTGGTTCTTGAACCTCAAGGCAGAGAGCTGGGGCTCATTATTCTTAATCCCCCAGGCTTGTAGGACATTTAAGACAATGCCCATCCTAGGAAATCAGTTATCTTTTTGTTTTAAATAATACTCAGTGTGATGCAGGAGATTTCTTTCAAGCACTTTCTTTAAAATAAATATACTCACTGCATTAGTTCCATTTTTTCACACTGCTATAGAATTACATAATAACATCTAGTACTAGAAATCAGATTTTGGGTTGGTTTTGATAGTTCAAAGTTCATACATCAACAAAGATAGCTCATAATACTAGTATTACGTAGTACATTGTTCAAGTTCTAAACACATAAAATATCAGCAGTCTTGAGGAATCTTTAAAGTTATTTGCTAAACATTTTGATTCTGCAGAAGAACAACTAATAAAGCCTTCAAATATAACTCCCAGTGTCATGGTTCCCATCTCTCATGCTCTTTGGCTTCAGTAGGTGAGGAACTTGCTGGATCTTGCTGGCCCAGGTGCTGCCTGCTCCTGTAGGCATGCATAAATACTGTATTGGGCAGAACAGCCAGAGGTCTGTGGGCAGGCAGCTGCAGTGGTGGAACGTGCTGCTTTTTTCTGTGGTCTATTTTTGTTTTGTTGCAAAAACCAAGCCTTGGGATGCAAATTCATGTTGGAGCATGGAGCTGGGAGCATTGGACTTCTAGAGGGGATAATTGGCTCAGCTCATTGCATCAGTTTAGGTTTTTCAGTAGGAGGTTTTAGCTCATCAGGACATCGAAGGAGATAGCATTTGTCTCCATTATGTTGTTCACTTTATATGACCAAAACATCTAATTTGGGTCCAGTGTTAACTCCTGGAATTCACTGTGAGTTGCTCAACTATCTTAATTACATACTTTTTCTTAAAAGAAAATGATGCTGAGAGATGTAGCTTTAAGTATCTAGGAGATGTGGAGATGGATGATGAGTAGGACCAGGGCAGATTGCCTTGCATCATAGCACTGAGCTTCACCAGCTTTTTTTTCTAGTGGTGGGGCTGAAATTAAAACTTGTCTTAAGAAGGACATCAGCAGCTGATGGGTCAGCAGCCCGTGGGCTGCCTTTGTGGGTGCGGGTAAAGCACTTGCCCAGCTTTCCTTCCCAGGCAAGAAACCTGAAAGCTTGAAACAAGGAAATGGGGATCCTGATTAATCAGCAAAGTTGGAAAACAAAACTCAAACTGCTTTACTGTCAGTGCTGAGAACATTTGGTTGTGTTACTTGTTTTTGTTTTCTCGGAATCAGTATCCACACAAGTCCCTGTCTGGTACTAGACAGTCCTGAACGGGCAAGAAGTCTTGCCAGTGAAGAAACAAACCTCTGAATAAAATAATTTCTTTGATTGTATTAATGTGTGTTAAGTTTTTTCACAGTGAAAACCACAGCAGCTGGCTCTTAACCGAACTGCAGTAACCACTCCCTTTATGGAGACTATTCTAGAGGTGAGAGCAGAGGGGTGAGGATAGGAAGTGATACCTTTGAAGCTGTGTGCCTCCTTCCAAAGAGATGTACCTGTCTCTGTCTTCCCTGGTGATGTTGGTCTTGCTTCGTCAGTGAGGTTTTCGGATCTACATCACTGGGTGGCTGAAGGCTGGAAGTGTTTCTGTGGCGGCTTCTCAAGGAAGGAAAGACCACAGCGTAAGGGGGATTAACCTGGTGGCTTCAAGGAGAGACTTCTGAAGAAATGTGTAACACATGACACAATGTGATGAGACTTGAATGTTGTTCTGGACTCTGTGTGTCACTAGTTACTCTGGTACTGTCAGTCTTTTCTGTCAAGTTATGAACAAAGCTCAGCCTGGATGTGAGGAGGTCCTGCTGATGGCTGATGCAAGGCTGGGCTCTGCCCTGCTGCTAGCTGGTGAGAAGATGACCGTGTCGCTGGTGACACTTCAGACCTTAGGGCTTTTCCTGATTTACGTACCTGGCACTTGGCACTGTTTTAACTTTGTCAGAGGTTGTTCTGCCTTCTTGTGCTAGCTACTGCCAGATACCAAGGTCTGGGTGCCTTGGTGGAAAGGCTTGTGAGGAGAAGTGTAGAGGCAGAGCCAAAATTGGTGGTTGTGCTTTGAGCCAGAGACCCCCTGAGCTGCCTCCTGGTGGTTCTGGATGGCAGCAGCAGGTAAGGGCTCAGACACTGAAGTCACCTGCACAGCCCCCAACTCTGCCTGCAGACGGCTGGAGACCTGGTGGGATGGGAGGTACTGCTGTGGCCACTGCATTGTTTTGAGGATGACTTCCTGCTGGGATCCTACAGCCTGTCAGGCAGTGGGAGCTGCAGACACCCCTGTGCCCCAGGGCTGCTGTGTGCCCCAGGGCTGCTGTGTGCCCCAGGGCTGCTGTGTGCCCTGAGGCTCTCTTTGGCTGGCCTGGCGGGTCGTGCAGCGGCTTGGCTCTGCTGGAGCTCTGCTGGGCAGCGCGGGTTGCCGACGCCAGAGCCTGCATCAGCAGCTTTTCTGCAGGGCGTGGCTGGGCAGCTGTCCGTGCTGGGGAGACCATGGGCTCCTGCCAGCGATGCAGCAAAACCTGGTGCAAGGGTCACTGCTGCTGCTGCAGGCTGTTAAGGTTGGCCACACATGGCTGGAGGACAGCTTCTGAAACACCAGCTACCTCAATAGGCCATCCAGGTGTGAAAGGGATCCTGTACCAATTCCCAGCCCCAGTTAATCTTTTGCAATCAGACTAATGGGCATTTTGATCACATGTACTTTAAACCAAATTTTACCAGAGTTCTGTAGTAAATTGAATTTTATTTTAAATAATGTCAATTATTCAAATAAAATACTAAGCGTCTGCCATGAGCATTAATAATCTTTGTTGCATCTGAATACAAAAGTGATCCCCTTTTAGTTCTGTATTTATTTTATTGTACGTGGCCAGGCTCTCTTAATCTCCTAGACTGCCATAACGACAAACGCTTGCACATGTGTTCCTCAAGTTGAAATAAAAACCATTCGTATCGGGTGTCAGTGCAATATCAAACAGCAGGAAGGGGATGACACTGTTAAAATGCTCATTTAGCACATTTTCACACTAAAATTAAAGCAGCACTAGGTAATAACCTTAAGAGTGTAGAGAAAAACATTACCGTTTTTGACAACAGCTTTGGTAGTTCCCGTTGCCTACTCGGAGACCCATTTTGCTACCTCTGAGCGGTGCAGCACTTCAAGCATGTCTGTAGTCCTGTTATCGCCAATGATGGGTGGATTCTTACAGCCAGGGCTGTTGGGTTTTTTGTTGTTGGGGTTTTTTGGGGTTTTTTTTTTTTAGTTGAGTCTTACATTCAGTAGGGAAAAATAAAGTTCTGAGAACAGACTGATAATAAAATCTTACATTTAACAAGGTCTAGTCTTGTGGATTGGCTGGATGGCTCCGGTTTAAAAAAGATCACCAGACTTTGGAAATCTGCTTTGTTGTTGTTTTGTTATTTGTTGTTTCTCAGTGTTTCTGGCTGTTCCTCCAGGGAGCAAAAAGTTCCTGCTCTGGGAAATTAAACTGATGGTCAATCTCCCACAGCCTTGCCCTTTTCACAGTAGGTGGGACCAGATTCACAGGTGGCTCAATTCCCCTCTCCTCTGGTCGTGGAAATATTTTTTCACTCATCTGTCTTGTTACAACTACCTCTGAAAATATCAAGGTTGGGACATGGCACTGTTGGTTGTGTAAATGGATCTTCCTTCTGTGTCACTTTTGAAATTGCTGTTTCAGTCCAACTTTTTCCTTGGCTCCAAATGAAGCTGCAGAACTCTTCAGCAGCTCCCCAAGAGCCCGGTTTTCTGTGTGCTCGCCGAGAAAGTGCTGTGGAAACAAAGTGCTCGTATCCACTTACACTTTCAGAAGGTACAAGGACTATCCAGATGCCACGTGTTCTCCTCACCTATGCACCGGAAAGATCTCCTTGGCCCCAGGAGGTAGAGGGAGGCTTTCTGTGAGTTGTTTGTTTTAGAGGCGAGGTCAGTTTAATGTCTGCTCTTCCCTTAAGAAGATGCTGGGTGTCCCACTGCTTTATAGCTCTCTGGTGGCTGTCAAGCACCACCACTCTGCGCTGTGCACAAATACCAAAATACCACTGACACTAAGTCATGCTCCTGGAAGCCTCATTTCTGTGGGCAAGAAAGGGGACTGGGAGACCTGGGTTCAGGTATGACTTGCTGCTGGCCTGTAACTTGGACACAGGAACCATCTTGTGAGCCATAAACTGAGACCCTGGAGGTACTCTGCTCTCAGCTCCACAGAGTCATTGGTCTCAATTGCAAGATGGAGACTAACCAGTACTAAAAAATATACCCAACAGTCAAGGCACTGACGGACTTCTGTTAGAGTCTTCCCCTTGCACTTCTGTTCCCCAGGGATACACTGTGTGACATTACTGAGAGCATTTGCACCAAATATGCAACCCAGATAACTGAGTGCCACAGTGATTACTGTATAGCTGCTCAGCTGAACATGGGTTCCCCAGAGTAGCTGTAGAAGCAGGCAGTAAAATTCACTGCTGGTCAGATAGCAGTATTCCCTTACCATTGGCATTTCTGGCTACTGAGTAGGCTTTGATTGAGCTACTACAGACATTACTGAGGAGACACTGAGATGGCCAAATGT